TGGGCGTTGTTATTAAGCAACCTGGGAAGCATTTGAACAGGGTCAGTCTAGCTTCCAGCAATCTGTCCTAATGAAAGCATCAGTGACATAGAATAAAGGTATGTATTAGGGATATTTATTACAGTCTTATTGAAATAAGGAACAAATAGGCAACTTAAATCTCTCCCTTTATAGTTAAAACATTTTTTTTTTACTTTAAACAAAGCTGTAAATTAAACAATAAATTAACAAGTCATAAGTTATTTCTACTGGAAAATATTAGATAAGCAGTGTCTGCGATTAGGGACTGACGTGCAGCTGCAGTCTCACTCTGAAGTCACTTTCCTATTGTAATAAAGTAAACGTGCTGTTCCTTTCAAAAACACAAATCTCCAGCAGCTGTGGGTAAGCTTTCTGGAAAAAGCCTGTCCATAAAAATGTTGAGCCAATTATAAATTACGAAAATGTGAAATATTAAGGAAAAGTATATTTTGTGCAAAACTGTTCCCCTACTCTAAATTCCTTGTTAATGTTCCTTTTCCCTTCCTTCTTTTTTAAAGCCAGTGCTTGCTAAGACTTTTGCAGTGGAAATGCACTGAAATTAAATAGGTTCACATTTATCTAAAGGAATCCTCTGCTTAACTTTCAACTTAAGATCACATTTTCGGTCTCTCTTTTAATAAGAGAACCAAGTAAGATCTGAAGGCAAGAAATTATTAACCCCTTTTTCCTGACTTAGAATTTACTCTCCTAATTTAAGCTTAGACTTAACTAGGATATGCTGGCACATCATTCATTATTTTCCTGAAATTTGAAAAACATACTCTCTACTGCCTGGAAGGGCAGGCTAAGTGCACCATCACCTCTGATTGCCTGTGGAGGACAGATTCCAGGAAAATTGCCTTTTTCGGGGTGTGGGCGGGGTGGGAGGAGGGTCTGAGAAATCACGAATACTCTGGATTTTATACCTTTTGTTGTATCCTTTGTTCTGGCTATTTTATTGGTTATTCTGGGCTGGGAATTTTTCTTTCTTGTTTTCTTACTCTATGTGTGTATGTGTGAATGTGTGTCTATGCATATGATTGTATATGTGTGTGTATGTAAATGTAAAGCATTTGTGTGTGTGTGTGTGTGTATATATATATATTTATGCAGATCAGGGGGTAAGTAAAAAGTGAGATAGAGGGAAGGATGCTCTTTAAATTTAGATATGGTAACAAGTAACATACATTCCTAGAAAGAAAATCTTAAAAAAGAAAGAATAGTTAATACATATTAAACCTTTCTGTTGTTTTTAAAATGCCTTACAACTTATTAAGAGACTTGAGGCATTTTAAATCTTTAACGCATTTAAATCTGGCTTTACTTTTAATATTTTTTAAAACTTATTAATGAGTCTCTTAATTTATTTTTCCCCTTTTTGGCTAGACTCTGTGCTCTGGGAATACAGGGGATACGTGTTTCTGCCTTCAAGGTTCTTCCAAGTGGTCGGAGGCGTAATCAAGTGTGAATCTGTAGCTGACATGTATAGACGTGTCCCATGTGCCAGGGAAGGGGGCCAAGTGATTTACATGAATTATTTAATCCTTAACCACCCTGTGAGGTAGATACTACTAACATCTGCATTTTGAAATGGAGAAAATTAGCCTCAGAGAAGTTTTTTTTTAACCTCCCAACTCCCACAGCTGGTAAGTCAATGGCAGAGGCTCGGTGCTGGCCCAGCCCGGCCACCTCCAGCCCTAACTGGGTAACACTCAGTGACCGGCTGCTCCTACGGAGTCCCTGTGGCAGCCCAACTGCCTTTTCTGATTTGTTTTGTAAAATGAGGATATTGGTGGAGGTGCTGACGCTTCATAACCTAATTGGTAGCCGCTACTGAAAAGCTGCTGTGAATGAGTGCAGTGCGTGACAGTGACAGCTGTGCCCGCAGGAACCAGGTAGGGAGAATCCCCGATGACCTCAAGTTCCTTCCAGCTCTAAGGCTTTGGCGTATCGTAGTAAGGCTTTCACACATGCAGTGTTTTGTCCTTCTGTCTGCCTCTTAGAATTTTAACTTGGGTAAAGATACCAAATGTGTCACTCTTTCTTTGTTGCTAACTATATTAAGAAGATAAAGCAGGAATAATAGTAGCATTTTTGTGCTACCTTTTGAAATTACTTTAATTTGGTAAGCTTTTATCAAGCACTTATTCTGTAGCAAGCATTGTATTAATACAACCAACATCACCAAACCCTCCTATGTGGCCCCATTGTTGACATCTCTACAACCTCACTTTGGAAATCTGATTACCTTCTGTCTTTCCCCACTATCTCTTCATTGATGATGATGAAAGTAAAAACTTCAGTGGATTGTAAAGACTCAATTATGTAATCACACTGAGAGTCAGATTTTAGCTGTGATTCGCTGATCAGAAATTTTTCAGGTTTTCACTTTTGGACTTTATTTGCTTTGGATGAAGCATTTATGTCCTCGTTACAGCCATTCCTGTACCCGAAGGAAGTGGTGACTAGAGGAAAACCCTCCCTTCTACAAGGAATAATAGTGAAGGAATTTATAGTTCTACTTGCTTGTCCCATAATAGCCTCTCAGGGCACAAGAGCTATGGGAACCTGAAATTAGAACACTGTGGAATACTGGCATTCTAACTTCTCTAGTTAGAATAGCTAGTGTATCATTTTTGTGCTAAACCAGAAGCCCTCTTAGACTCCAGTCCGGGCCAGCACTTACAAGTGACAGGGTAGGGAGTGGAGGTGGGATTACTAAATTCTGCCACTGAGGAAGAGACCCTTGTCTGAGAACCATGCACCAAAGCATGGGAGTAGTCGTAAGGAACTCAGCTATTTCTGGTGTGGTGTATGACGAACCTGCAACACAAGAGGACCTTTTTCTGGGTTCTTATCAATCTTTCCCAATAACCTAGGAAGCAAGAGAAGCAAGGAGTAACATACGACTTTTCCTCTGGCCCTATACAAAGAAGTTGGAATTTTCTCTGCGCGTGTGATTTTAAAATCCACACCTCGTTTCCTCATCGTAGAACCAGGGTGAAGCATTTCCCTTTTGCTGCCCTCAGATCTCATTTCTTTTTGTAAGACACCAACATGTTTCGTTACTTGTCCTGTTTGCCTCTCCCCCACCTTTGTAAAGGAGCATTAGAGCAACTCTCCTTTGTTTGAAATCCTCTATAAATAATCTTTTTCCCCTCAAATAACCTCAGAATCTTCTCCAAATCAGAATAACTCTTGGAGGGCTACAAAAATATATCATCACATGAATTTTTATCACTCCATTCTTAATATCATAATTGATTTTTATTAAGCTCTGATTTTATTAAGCACCATAAGGTGAGTCATATAACTGTGTCATATAACATATGACTGTGTCTAGTCATTGATAATTATTTTTTCATATTTTATTTTGAATTCTATGCTTAAATCCAGTGGTAATAATTGTTCACTTTCTTGATGCAGTCATCCCTCAGTATGCATGCACGATTGGTTTCTGGACCCCCTGGGATACCAAAATCCACAGATACTAAAGTGTGTGTGTATATATGTAATGGCCTAGTATTTGCATATAACCTACACACATCCTCCTGTATACTTTAAATCATCTCTAGATTACTTATAATATCTACTACAATATAAATGCAATATAAATAGTTGTTAAACAGTAGTATTGTTTAGCACATAATGACAGTAAAAAAATCTGTGCATGTTCAGTACAGATGCAGTTTTTTTTCCAAATATTTCAATCCATGATTGAATCTGTGGATATGGAACCTACAGATTTCGAAGGCTGACTGTATTTCCTAAAATCCACACAGATTAGTTATTATATCTTTGCATTTTGTTTAAAAAATCTATTTCTTAAAGTTCTCTACTTATCTAATTTGATCAGTATTCTTTAACAAGAATATATTTTTATACCATTAGAAATGTACTTGTATTCTATTTTGTACTATGAAGTGAATATAGCATTTATATTATATAATGGTTTAATAAGCAGTCTGTTTTCTCTCCTCTTAACCTTTGAATTTTCAGAGTGCAAAGATTGGTTCGGTAGGTAGAGAACTGATTGCACGTCTTACTGAATTCATGAATGGTGTATATTATACTCATTCCTATTTTAGAAATAAAACCAGAATGATGGAGCAGCACGAAGTACAAGTAGAATGAAATGGGAGCTGACTGGGAAAAGGAAGTTTAGCCTTCGCTTTTTAAGGCCACATGTTAAATGATAACAGTGAGCTGGAGAGAACTTTTTAAGCAGACATGAAGTCTATTTAAGTATTTAAAAAATTATTTTAGTAAAACTTAATTTTGATGAGAGTATACAATTGAGACTGCGAAACTAATTTCTTTATTTTGTGTGCTTCAAATTTATAAACGTATAGAATTCCATCTGAGAAAAAGAACCTGGGTTCAGTCATTTAGTCTGTCCCTCTGGAGTCCAGGTAACTTAAATGACTTGCTTAGAACCTACCGGTTATTGAGTGAGCCTGGTTCTGTCAGCCTGATTCATGGATAGGCACATTTGATCTTGTTTAACAGTAGCTCTGTCTATGCCACGGATATGTTGTTAGGTTACGCTTAGAATATAATACAAATTTTGTTACTATTTACTAATGTGAGAAATTGTCATTTATATTTAAAGTGCTCTTACGGTTTTTTTACTAACTTTTTTATATCAGATGTGTTCACCAGTTCATGGTAAATTATCTTTGTGTAATATAGCAAAATAAGCCAGAGATCATAGTTATTTTGCTCAATGATTTCTGAAAAGAGAAATCATTGATTTATGATTAATAAATCATTGATTTATGATTAATAAATATTAGATAATCCTCTTATAAATTGTTTTAATGAAACTATGTGGTATCTAATTTTTTTCTCTTACTAAATATATCAATATTATGGTGAATAAAATCCAACACAACTTGGAGGGTTTTTCATTTTTGTTTTTGGGGGTTTTCTTTTTTGGGTCATTTTACTAAAAATATGCATAATTTTAATATTTGCAGCTGGTTTTAGAAGAAGTTTTCGTCTTAGTAGGAAAGATAAGAAAACAAACAAATCCATGTATGAATGCAGGAAGAGTGACCAGTACGACACAGCAGACGTGCCCACATACGAAGAAGTGACACCGTATCGGCGACAGAACAATGAGAAATACAGACTTGTTGTCTTGGTTGGTAAGTGTTCGTTTTTGTGTGTGATTCTGAAGAACTAGGTGAAGTTGTAAGAACTTAACTTCAAACCATATCACACTGGAAGTTTTCAGGTTAAAATCCCCTCATCTGCCCCCTTTTTTCTGGTCTCTAAATTAAAATATTTTGTCTTTTGTACTTATGTGACATTCAGAGATTTTTGAAATGTCTGTGAATGATGGTACTGTCCTTGGAGTGGGATCTCATAGGGGAGCAGAGAGTAAGCACCACCATGATATATTACACATGTCAAGGCAATTAAATGGTAGGAATGCATATTTTTTAACATACTGCAAATTTCTTTAGAATCATTTTGAGGCAGCAACATGGTATAAGACGTTCCTATGGCATTAGACGTTCAGTGAAATAAACTATTATAGTAGAGCTCTTTCTAGGACATTTCAAGCTGGGAAGTGAGTTAATGAAACTGCTTTAAAGTGGTTAATAAATGTATATTGGTATTTCCACAAACATTGGTTGGTTTGACTTAGATGAGCAGTCTAGCATCTATCCTGTGAGCCCTATCCTTGTGATCATTCTTTAAAAACATAGCAGGAGGTATTTAAGTTCCCAGGATCGAGCCAATGATTTTGGAAAAATGTTGGGATAAAGGAACCTGGTTTCTCTTGTTTGTTGGTCCTTTATAAACTCACGGTGACAGTGCAGGGATGTGAATCAATGAAAAAGCTAAGACTCACTCTGTCGTAGTAAAGTGGGGTCCTCTGAAAAGTTATGACATGTGCTGTTAATTCAGACACATGGGGGATGACTCGTGGGAACTGATGGGGGGGGTTCTTGTATCTAATGGCACAGGAACTGATAAATTAGCATCATCAGATATAAACATTGCATTATTTAGAAACACTTATGCACATATTTCAAAGGAAATTCAAAATTTCCTTTGTTAGCAGTGTCCACATGTCCTCATCTGTGTATATGGAACCTTCCCAAACATGGAAGAATATTTCCATAGGTTTCTATGTCTACTCCAGAGTTTATAGAGCCCTGCTTCCATTCCTCTTGGAGTCACGCTGTGGGGAATACAGCCATTCCCTGGCCCAGACAGAGCCAGGAGGCCATAGAGAAATCCTTTTTGGCCTCCCTGGGGCTACTTGAGACCTCCTGCCCCTCTCCCACCCCACAGTCCCTCTATGCCTCCTCCCTCACCAGCACCCATCTCAGCAACGTCTCTTCTCAGCTTAGGAGGGAGATGCGTTGTAATAAAAGGGCAAAGATAGTGTGATTTCCTTTTCTCTTGTCTTTTTTTCTTAATGGGATATTGCTGTGTTGTCCAGACTGTCCTTGAACTCCCAGGCTCAAGCAATTCTCCCACCTCAGTTTTTTGAGTAGCTTGGTCTACAGGTGCCTGCCACTGCTCCCAGCTGTATATGATTTTTTGTTTACCCTTCCATCCCAATGACTCTCTGTAACTTTGAGTTTCTCCTAGGGGGTCTAATTGAAAAAGGAAAGTAGAATAAACTTTCTTTTTTTTTTCCCCCCTTTCCTATAGGTTCTAACTGTAAAAACCCTTTCCTTGGAGATGAGAAAGGGAAGATGAGGATAAACTGCTAGAGCAGTAACCCAGGGAAGAATAAAAGTAAATCATAGTGAGAAGCAGCTGAAGATGGTTGAGTGTGATGGAAAAGAGACAGCCAATCCCCATGATCTCCCAAAGGGAAGAGGGGCGGGTGAGGGGGTGCTGTCCTCAGGCATGTTAGAAGTAATCATGGAGTTCTGTAGCACGGTACATGTGCAGGTATCCATCACCTGTTCCTACAGTTCCCTTAAAGAAGGTATAAATAAGAGGAAGGATGTCGAAGGAGATAAAGTAGTTTTTGGTCTATTCTAGGTGCAGGACTCCTGAGCAGGTCTCTGTTAATTTGGAATAGAGCATAAGGAGATCTCCGTCCTTGTAGTTACTAAGTCCAAAAACTGTTCACTCATCCCTGTTCTCTCACACCCAGTGGTGCTCAAACGAACACCAGTAGCTAAGATGTTAGATCCTTTAGTACTGTTCCAGATGGACTGGGTATTTTTTTCTAGTGTTTTTTTCTGTTTTTCAAATTTGATCATTTCTATTATTCTAAGATCCCTGAACTTTATCATTTGCTATTTAGTCCACTAAGTGAATTTTTCCTTTCAGACATTGTATTTTTTCAGTTGTAAAATTATCAATTCCTTTTCATAGTTTCTGTTTATTTGCTAAGGCCTTTTTTCCCCTATCAGTCTCAGGTATGTTTACCTTTACTTTAAGAAGCTTAGTTAAGATAGATGCTTTGTTGTTTCGAATAATTCTAACATCAGAGTCATTTTGGCATTGACATGTGTCGATTTTGTTTTTCCTTGAGAATTTGTCACTTTCATTCTTTGTATATTATGTAATTTTGTTCTGTATCCTGGAAGTTTTGAACATTGTGTTATATAGATTTGGGGTGGAAAATGTTAAATTTTTTAGCAGGATGTCAGCCTGGTTAGGTTCAGTCTGTGTGTGTCAGCTCAGTTTTCAGTCTTTGCTGCTTTGGGTCTCTTCCATGCACGTGACACGCAGGTCAGTCAGGGACTGATGCAGTGGTTTAAGTCCTAATTCATTTCTCAGAGCCTTTGTCGTGCTGCTCTGGGTTGATCACACTCATGCACAGCTTAGAGATGAGTCCAAAACGTCTGTGGAGTCTTTCCCACTCTGGCCACTGCCCCGCTGTGCAGCCTCCCAGAGATGGTGACTCGTCCTCAGGCAGAGCCCTAGATGAGAGGCGTCTTAGTCTGTTGTATGTTGCTACAAAGTCATACCTGAGACTGGGTAATTTATAAAGGGAAAAGGTTTGTTTGGCTCACAGTTCTGCGGCTGGAATACTGGGCTTTTATCTACTGAGGGCTTCAGGCTGCTCCTGGTGGAAGGTGATGGGAGCTGGCATGTGCAGAGATACAGGAAAAGAGAGAAAGGACGAGGGAGAAGGGTCAGATGTCAGGCCCTTTTTAACACCAGCTCTCTCGGGAACTAAATATTCACTTATTAGGGAGGGCATTAACTTGTTCATGACACCCCCACGACCCAGACACCCCCAGCCAGACTTCACCTGCAACATTGGGATCAAATGTCAGCATGTGATTTGAAGGAACAAACATTCAAACTATAGCAAGAGGGAAACATAAAAATGGGAAACCTCATCATCTTGGGAGTCACTTGTCTGTGTGTGACTCCCTTCCACATTCTGCCTGCGTTGTTTGCTTTCCAGAGCCCTCAGGCCTTTTGTACACGGTCCAGAGCAGGGGTCCTCAAACTACGGCCCTCAGGCCACATGCGGCTCACCGAGGACATTTATCCAGCCGGCCGGGTGTTTTTGCCGCTGCTGCCTGTCCTGCTTAGCAGCTGACTCGTCCCAGGCCCACGGTGCTTGTGTGTGGAATGTGCGCTGCACTCTCCAATGGCCCTCCAATGGTCTGAAGGACAGTGAACTGGCCCCCTGTTTAAATGTTTGAGGAACCCTGGTCCAGAGGGTTTTGTATTTAGTGAGGAAACAGGCTATAGTGGGCTTTCCACACCACAGTGGAGCCAGAACTCCCTGAAACTTTAAGCTCCTCTCCCAGATGCAGTGTGGTCTGTCTTCATTGGTGGATCTTAATCAGCCTCCTCCAAACTGGGTGATGTCACCCCAGCTCTCATGTGTCCTGGTCAGCACTTCAAAGGGTCATCAGGACAGAACAGTATCACAGCATCGTCTCAGCTACCTTTTGAGATAAAACAATGCTCCCAGAAATATATATCACAGCAATCCACTGTCAGCTTACAACCTGAGGTACTTGGCATCCGTTGTACATGAAGGCTAGTTGTCTAGATCCATGATCATTGAACTAAAACACATCTGGCCAGAATTTTAGGAAACTGATTCATTGAATTGTGTGCACTTCAGTTGCCCCATTTCCCCTTTGCCATTTGATCTTTGGCTTCCTGGCACCTGAATACTGAACTGAATGTGGACCTGTTTGTGGGCCAGTCCCCTCCCTCTTCTCCCTATATTTTTACATTCCTAAAGCCTTTTTTTTTTTTTAGCCCTGTGATGTCAGTCTTATTGTAGTGCCTGCTGTTTCTGTCTCCTGCTTGGAATTCTTGAATCCTAATTCTCAGAGGAGATTTCTGCTTTAGATCGACAGGATTATCACCCCCAAGGTATTCCTGAACCAGAGATGCTGAATGTTGATGCTCCCAAGTGGCATAGTCAGGGAACACTCTATTACCATTGCTGTGTGCTTGTTACCCACTAGTGTTGCCTCATTCTTTGGAGGTTCCCAGGCCTTGAGTGAATAATTAATTGTATAACTTCAGTGATAACCATCTTTTTACCACTTAGGTTTCTCTGCTAAGCTCTGACTATCATGTTTCATTACCCTCTCTGTTCCCAACTGCTTTCAAACATTTCCAACCGAGTTTTTCAGCTTTAACTTGTTTCTCAAGTGGGTCATGTCCTTCCTCTGTGCTGTGGAACAACAGTAGCTAAGGGCTGTGCATGAATTATTTCCTTCAGGTAAATTTAGTTGTATTATTCTCACTTTACAGATGAAGGAACTGAGGCACAGAGAGAAGTAAGTAACTTGTCCGAGCTCCTGCAGCCATGGACTTGTAGCGCTGATTCAGACCTGAGCAGGTGGAGGAGACCACAGCCCTCTCCTATCTCACAGTGAAATGTGGCTTCTGACCTTAAAATTGGGGCTGTACGCTCCGTGCTAGATGAAATACCTTACTTGTCTTTTTTCCACTTTGACTTAAGGCCTATCTATTCATTTTCCTGACACATACCTCCTCACTTTGTGAAAGTTTTGATCTGAGTCCACCAGAAGCGTCTGTAGTTCACCTAAGTCCCGTCTACTTCCTGTGCCTTGAGCTGGAGGCTTCTGCCGTCGGCCCCCTGGGTCAGTGCGGCAGGCTCCCCAGGCTCCCTTCTCTGCTCCCTCCGTGCTAATTCCACACCATCTGGGCACTGTCCCCTCTT